TAAATTTACCACAGAGGAAGTCTAATGTGGTCATAGCTGTGGCAATAAATATACTCTCTGGTCTGGTCAAATTTTGGTTTAAACAGTGACAATGAATGAATATTAACAAGAGGTAGACTTTTTGAAAGCAGCAAAGAGTTAAAGAAAACCAGAACATTAAAAAGGGAATAAGAGCAATCTAAAGTTGGACAAAGCCATTCGATTCCAAGACAGTAACACTACTCCAAAATGTGTGTGTGGTATTCCAGAAACCAAGAAATGAAAGAACAGTGGAAAAGATTACCTGCTCAATTCTCAAGCATTCTAAATTCAATCTGTTTTCATTTAAACCATGGGTGAGCCCTCTTGAACCGCCCTTAATGCAAGCAGTGAGTGGGTTCCATAAGCAAGTAGCCTACAGTACAGGAAGTACAGAAGGAACAGAGGAAGAGAGTAAACAAAGAAGGGAGGAAAGTAGCAAGGGAAATATTAATAAAATGGAAGAAATAATGAGTTACAGAATACGGAATACCAGTGATCCCAATATCAAGTTCTGCCAGCTTTACCTAAGTTACTGTGTGAGGGGCACCATGACAAATGGCAACATAGGAGAGCATGAAAAGAGAAATTTAAATCACAGATTTACAAGACACCAAAGATGAGAAATAAGCATATTTACAAAAATGAAAAAGCAACAAAGCAGTTTTAGAGTCTATGGGACAATCTAGAGATTATTCAAATCTCATTTGGTTTAGTTATACTTTACTTTTCACTAAACAGTGAATCTGTTAGTATCAAATATATACATGACAGGTATGTCACAAAGACATTATGAGGCTTATTTGCATACTTTTTGTGGGAGTGACTTCAGAATTTTTCCTCTCACCATTTCAATGCTACTTATTTTAAGAGTTTCACTGTAATTCTTATTGTGGCTGGATGAGTTAACTTCCTTAAAACCAGACTTCAAAACAAAGTAAGCACTTTTTAATTATAGTCAAAATTTAACCTTAAAAAGGACAAGGGTCTACAATAGATCACAGAATATTATTTAGTCCAGTCTAAATAAGCATAATGGTAACCAAAACTCTGCTAATGATTCTCAAGAAAATTATGTAATTAAGAAATAATTTTAAAAGTTTCTTGAATTTAAAGTTAGCTAGACAAAAAAAAAATATGCTTTTTAAAAAAATGAATTTACACCTTGAATCATTCAGGAAACATGTAATAGTGGACACATTTCTTCAATATGAAACTTACAGAACTCATACATATACACACATTGCCTAGGCAGTGATTTCAGTAAGGATAAAAGAAAATATCCTTAAAGACAATCATTATGGCAAATAAACTACTGGATCAAAAGCAAATTTAAGTAAACTCTATACCTTCACCAATCATTCATTATATCCATAAATGTACAATCTTCATGAGCATTCCATCATAACAAATGACTGGAGAGAGTGCATTCATTACAGCAAATTATTTTTAATAAAGTATAATAGGATGAAATAATGTATATATACTTATAGTCTGTTTCTCTCATTTTAAAAGATAATAAAAAGATGAAAACTCTTAATACAAGGTCACCTGGAGATCACCAATACCATGTACTTATAAAATTTAGATAACCTGGGAGGGGAAGCAGAGCCCCTTTACTAACATACTGATGCTTTTAAAAATCAAAAGTTTAAAGTAGGGCTTCTCAACCTCAACACTACTGATATTGTGAGTCAGATAATTATTTGTTGTGGAAGGCTGTGTGGTGCATTATAGGATAATTAGCAGCATCCTTCCTCTATACCCACTAGATGCCAGTAGCACACCCTCCCCACCGCCCCTATAACTGGGACAACCAAAAAAGCCGCCAAATGTGCTCTGGGGCAGAGGTGCTGGGGAGGCATGCAAAGATCACCCAAGTTTGAAAACTGCTGGCTTCTCATAAATAAACTTTAAAATTTTTTAAATGAATGGGGGAGTTGATTATTTTATTTCTCTCCTGCTCTTGATGTTCCAATATATTATATTTGAATTTGATCACAAACTACATTTAAGAGATTCTGCCTTTCAGAAAACAAAGCATTTAATATCTATCATTTGTTAGCTAAAGTTCTGAAGAGTTCCAGAAGATTCACTGCACTACCAATTCTCCCTCTAACCACATATACTTATTACAGAAATATACACAGTATTGTCTAGCTGAACTGAAGAAACGCACATATTACTTTATTTCCATTTCTTATTTCATTAAATATATGAATCAGACTGCTCCAGCTCCCACAGAATCCAAAGTAATTCTCAACTTATTCAGTGCAACTCAAATAGTACCACAACAGTTGCACCACTTTAGGCTGGATAAGAACTAGAATAAGTATTAAATTCATCCTCATATTTTAACAAATTGTGGAAAAAGGTACCAATTAACCACAATGCTTTAAAAACAAAAACAGACTAAGCAGGTTTCTGTCTGAAACAAAATCTGAGGACTATAACAAGAATGAAAAACAAAATCAAAATCAAAGCAAATCTGTAGACATTTCTAGATGAGGGCAAAACACAAGAACATTTCCCTTGGAATGAGAGGAGGAAATTATACACTTGACCATACCCTACAGGAATAGTCTGTACATTCAGTCTCCAGTATGCATATCACAGAATGGAAACTGAAAAGTAAAAATCCATGTAATACTAAAGAAAACAGTAAGCATCTATCCTAAACACCTGAAATGAAACTATTCTTTACTACTACTCTGCATTTGATTTAAAATGTTCAAATATCCATAAACAAAAACCCTGGAAACATGAAAAAATTACTTCTTATAAAAATAGCCATCCTTGTGCCAGATTACAAATTACATAAAAAATCAATTAGGAAAATAAACATAATAATCCTTTTTTGGAGTGCATTTGATTCACAACAAAAGCCCTTTAAAGAAGCAGACATTTTAAGTTCTAAAAACCTTCACCTATAAATATGGATTAAAGTATTTAAGATTATTTCAATTATTCTCAATAGAAGTATATTTTAGTTCAATTAGAGATGTTTATTTTAAAAACTATGTAAAAATATTTACCATTAGTTTAATGTAAGTAGAATATCTACATGCTCTACAGCAATAAATTATTTTATTACAAAATTTTAGCTATTAACCTCTTGGCCCAGTGAACATAATCCTACAACAAACTAACGCTCAATTCTTTTTTACTCCCAAACCAAGCAGAGAAAGCTCTAAGATTATAAGATCTGTAGTGGCAGCCTGCTTTTCCAGAAGTAATACCTTAAGACTGCTCAAGAATAACCTCCTTCACCAATGAGTGTGACTCAGGTGAGCTTGGGAGGGAATACTGTCTACAATTCTTTGGTCAGTGGCCATGATGCCCCTCCTCCTCAAGGGCAGGAGATCAGAAAGAGGGATCTGAACAAGAGGAGTTCACTAACCAGAACATATAGGGGCAGCGGAGGAGGAGAACACGCAGAAAAATAAAAACCTCATGATTAAGTCATGTCACAAAAGAGGTTTAATGTTATCAAGGTATTCATTCATTTCACAGACACCATTGTTTATCTTCCTTCCCAAACCGTGCACAAAAAGAACTGTCAGCCTGCCTTAAGCATGTACCTTCTTCCATTTAAACAGACACGATTCTTTTAATCTCTGGCAATGATCGCCATTTCACAACACATTCAGCCCACCCAGAACTGATCAATACCACTACAGACATAGGACTAGACTTTATCCATTTATTAACCACAAGGAAACGTACCATTCAGCAAAATTCTTTACATTACAAAGGATTCTATTAAAAAAGGGGGGTGGGGAGGACGGACTGATGGACACACACACACCACAGAGGTACACAAAGAAAAGACTACCACCCTCTAATTTCCCTGTGGCAAATGAGATAAAGACGTGGCCATGAAAACTGTCAATCCCCCCCATTCCATTATTCTAGCTCACAACCTAGTAACTGAATATTTAATTTTATGATAAATAGATCCACTGCGACTTTAAAATTGTTCATCTTTTGAACTAACTCTCCTGTTATGTACATTTGCACACCTTTGAGCAAGATGCTGTATTCATTTACATAATTTCAAATACAAAAGATTAGATAGTTTTCCAACCACTGGTTGCAACCACAGAACGTTTTCACTAAATCAAAATTTCAAATACAAAAGGGCCAGATTATTCTTCCAACCTTGGGCTAAAACCTATTTTATGAAATAGTGTATTTGACAGCATGAATAATTTCAAATGGGCTAAAATAATGCCCAAAATAATGCTTCAATACAACGCATTTAAAATAGGTATTCCGTAGGTAAGCAAAATCTATGCCAGAAAAGAGCACATAAATGGTGGTTGAAAGCCAGTAACATTACCAACACACAGCGGCATACCTCTTCTGCACTGGATTATAGTTAATACTCCAACAGCAACAACTACAACTATTTTTAACATTGCTGGACACTGAAGTTGAAGAAAACGTGAGAGACACAGATGAAATTGCTGATTGTGATCCATTGTTTCTCACGGTCAAAATTAAGTAGCAACTGACTTGATCTCTGACGTTACAGCCAGAGTACGGCTGAAGCACTAATTAAAAGACGATTTAAAAAAAAACAAAAACCTTATTTTGGAGGATGCCACACTAGATGACATGTCGGGATACGCCTTTCAGGTCTCAAACCTTTGCATAAATTGTCACTTGTGGTATTTGCGGCTTAATTGCAACCCAACCGGCGCTGTCATCCAGTGTTATGGCCACAAAACCATGACTTTCTCACTTCCACAAAACATAGCAGGCACTCTTATCAGTTACCAGCCTAAGTCAAAACGAGAAAAATTCATGGAGGTTTCCAGATCACAGTCAGACCTTGGGGGTGGCAGCCCAGGGGCTCGGGTTGGGGGGGCGGGGAACTCCCCAGGCTCCACCGGAGCTCGTCGACCCAACAACAACCGCGGCCGCCAGCAGCGGCACTAGCCGCTGCAGCCCCGCCGCGCCGCGCTCCAGGCACCTACCTGAAGAACAAGAGATAAGAAAGACGGCAAACGCCAACTTCGCAGCAGCTCCCATTTTCCCGAGGCGCCGGGGAAGCCGTATGAAGTTCTCGCTAGATATCCAGTTCCCTGGATGTTCCTCGGAGACAAACCTCCTGGTGTAAAATCAACCGTCATAAAACATATTCGGAAGCCCCGACCAAAAAACGTTCACGGGGTTAAAAAAAAAAAAAGAAAAAGAAAAAAGGAAAAACAAAAAGAGCACAACAATAAAAAGAAATGCACCACGGGGGGAAAACCGCCACACACACGCACAACACACTAAACCAAACAACGAAAAGCCAACAACAACAAAAGCAGGCTTAAATCACTGTCAAAATCACTGTCAGCTCCGCTCGCCTCTCGGGTCTCTCAGAACAAAACGCCAGGCTGAGGCGACGAGGAGGCGGCGGCGCCGGCGCCCGCTGCCGCCCGGACAGTCCGGGAACCGAGCTGGGTCCGACGTCCGGACCGACCTTCAGCCCGGACACCCAAAGTCTGCGGACCACTGGTAGCCGAGCTCGCGGCAGCGGCGGCCCAGGAGGCAGCGGCGCGGAGAAGGAGCGACGGGCAGCGGCGACAGCGGCGGTGCAGCAGACAGCCAAGTTCTGGTCCAGGCTCTGGCTCTGGCTCCGGCTCCGGCTCCGGACTCCGAGCTCGGCCGCGTTTTCGGTCCCCTGGCCTCCACCGGCCCCGCCCCCTAAACTTCCGGTTCCGGTCCGAGGCTAGAAAGCAAGCACCGTGGAGGAACGCTTCGCGGCGGCAGCGGTAGCGGCAGCGGCGACGGTGGCGGCTCTAGGGCGCAACGCGCGTGCCGAGCCCGGAGCTCCAGGAGATTGTCGAGCTCGGGAGGCGGGAGCAGTGGAGGGGTAGAAAGGGAGAGAGAGAGAGGGCGGGGCCGGCTGGAGAGCGAGGAGGCGGGGCGGATGGAGGCTTGTCAGCGCGAGGCCGAGGCGTCCGGCCTGCTGGGCCTGCTGGGCTACTGGGTTCCAGCGGGCGGGTGGATGTGGTCCGCGAGCCACAGCACCTGGTTTTTTTAAATCGCCCTACTGGCCTCTCTGGAGCTCACGCCCGAAAGGCCAGGGGAACCCAAGAAGAAGAGGCCCTTAAGGCGGGGTGGTTGGCTGGTGACTCCTCCGGGGGGTGTCTGCGGCGCTCTGTATTTCCTCTGGGGGGACGCCTCGTCCGCTCTAAGACTTCGGGCGCCGGGAAGCCGCGGGTGGGAGCTGACCCGCTGCGCCTACCAAGCTGCCGGAGCTCGGTGCGCGCGAGCTGGTGTGTCTGTGCCACCAGTCTTAGCGAAGCATCCCACCGCTCTGGCTTCTGCTTAAATGATTTGTCATTAGGCTAGAAAGAAAAGAAAGAGAAAAAAGCAAAACCGAGGAGTATGGCTATCCACCCGGTCAGGGTATCCACGTCAGTCTTTAGGATGTGCAATTTGAATCCATTCCCACCTTCCTTTTAATACACGAATCATTGTGTTGAGAACTGTTCTGAACGTAATAGGTTCGCAAATACCTGCAGAATTTGATCGACATATTTAATGATCAGAAAATTGTTTACTTTTTAAAAAATTATAGGCCTGTTTTTATCCCTTAATCTTAGTTGATTGCTTAGAAGGTGCTGTTCTAAGTATGGAGTTGGATCCAAAATGTAAAAGTAGTATTACCTGCTACCTCAAGGAGATCACAGTATTTGCTGTACTAGATGTGACTGCCGAATACAAACTAAAGACAATATTAAAGATACTGGCTTTGTCATTTACCACACTTTGGCAACCTCCGTGAAAGTAGGGATCTTACCTGATTAGCATATATAATGAATGCTTAGTAAATAATTGTATAAATAGCTAGGGGATTTTTTTCTTAAATCCAATATTCTTCCTTGTATTCTACCAATTTGTGTTTTATTAACAAAGACAATAAAGTAACTATATTCTGTGGCTAATTCATGTTTTACTTGTGGCTTACCAATTCCCACATTTTTCCCACAAAGCCAAGCTTTGTCCCTTGTATTTACAGTTTTATTTTTCTCTTCCTCCAAATTACTCTATTAAATTCATTCTGTAATTATCTGCCCATTTCTACAACTTGTCAGGGTTATTAGCAATCACTGGGGCACTTTAAACTTTCTCCAAGACTTCCAATTCTCAAGTCACGGTACTCAGAATGTGACTGATACTGTGCACAGTTAAGAAAAATCCAAAGTTGATCTTCAAAATATTTAAAAGATCTCATGTAGTTCTCTGGACTTTATGAGCAGTTCAAAGAAATAAATATACATCTTCCATTGGCTGGTTGAATTAAGAGATGCCACTAACATTTCTGGAATGAAAGAGTGTATTTTATTTAGAACAACCTTTGTTTCATCCAGGAATTTGACGTCGGTTATACCCTGGATCGGGCCCCACTGTTGTCTTATCTCTGTATCACTTCAATATTTTTGAATTGTGAAACTAGAGCAAGTGGAATAACTGGAATAACCAGCAATAGAACTAAAACTTGAAAACATTCCTTACCTTGCCACCCAAATTACCTAGTGTAAGAATGTAAGGGAAGATCATTTTTTTTTTCACAGTATGAAAGAGGAGCAACAAGTCAAAGTCTTCACTATAATATTCTTTTCTAATAAAAAGTTAAAATAACCCCATGGGAAATATTACTGGCATCCAGTAGCAGTAGTTACTGTGTTCCTAAATTTGTGTTCACTCTGCCCTCAGCATTTTTTTAAATCCTCACCTGAGGACATTTTTTCATTGCTGTTAGAAGAAAGAGAAAGGAACCAGGTGAGAGAAAAACGATCAGCTGCTTCCTGTACGTGCCCAGATCAGGTATTGAACCTGCAGCCTGGCTATGCGCCCTGACCAGGAGTCAAATCCCCAACCTTAAGGTTATGGAAGGAAGCTCCAACCAACTAAGTCACACCTACCAGGACTGCTCTGTGCATTTTTTAAAAATTCAGAATAATTTAACCTATTCAGACATGAAAGTGCCCTGACTGGTGTAGCCCAGTGGGCTGGGCATCATCCCACAAACTGAAAGATTGCCGGTTCAATTTCCAGTCAGGGCACACGTCTTGGTACAGGCCAGGTCCCCAGTTGGTTGGCATGCAAGAGGCAACCAGTTGATGTTCTCTCACACCTCTTGTCCTCCCTTTCCTTCTCTCCAAAAATAGATAAAATCTTTAAGAATAAAAAAGAAGTGAGAGTATGTGACTAATTCCCACAGGAATTCCAAAGCTTCAAAAGAAGACAAGTAGCTGCAGCTGACTCTGCTGCCCCTTTTTCCTCCTTATTTTGTAGAATCACTTGTTCTTATCTACAAATCTGAAACCTCCCCAACAGTGCTAGCTGCACAGACTGGACTTAGGAAGAACAGCGAGAAAAGAAAAAAACAAGAAAGGAATTCTGGTCTGCTAGAGCATTAGACATTATGTGTTAAACAGCTTTAACTAGCACCACTTAATGCCTGAACTTGAGACTTAGTCCTATAGCCAGTCACTCTAATACTAGAATTTCAAGTCAGAGTCCCAGCAAGAAGGTCAATTAAACTTCAAATCATTCCCAGCTGGAAGAAGCTTAAGAAGCCTGTTCAACCTAGAGATTCAAGTGTGTGCTGGCTAGATGAGGAAACAGAGGTAAATGAGAGTCACAGATTGCTTCCAGAACACAGGATGGTTTCTCATATGGTTCAGAAAGGTATGGACTGGCTTAAATCTTCACCTCTGAAATGGGGCTGGAATTGAACTAGCCTTAGAGATTGGGTAGTATGGCATATATTGTGAGGGAATTTACCTGAAGGTGTTTACCAGTCTCTGGACATGCCAACAGCTATATATAAACAACACATGCCAATCCTTTCTTTATCTTCAGGAAAAATGACCAAACCCTGTAGAGTATGAGGAATGAAGGATTTTTAAATATTTCTGCATCTTTCCAGCTACTATAAAAAAATCTGAGCTCAGATAAAATGGGTATTCCATAAGTGGCTCAACTAATGAATTTCATATATATATATATATATATATACCAATGCTGTAAAGCATAATACATGGGGAACAAACTTGGCACCTTGGTAGGTCAAAGGAAGGCAGACAATAATCGGCATACCTTTCATTAATATCCCCCTCTCACTAAATGTGCAGTGGGAAGAATACTCCCTATATCCTAGTTTTTGCTACTGTTACTCCTCTATTTCTACTTAGGATTGTACTGTACCAATGGGGTAAAAAAGACATACTAAGATGAGGATGTGGGAGTAGATGGTGGGACAAAACATTAAGGCCAAATAGTCTAGGACAGAAAAGTGGGCTAGGAGAGTTATAAGAAGCTATGGTAGAAATAATGTATCTACTTTGATAAAAAGGCTACATTAACCTAGCTAGTAATATAAATCTCATTAAGCAATTGAGTTATCTATTATCTCCCAAAGGTAACATTTGACTTTTTCTTCTATATCACCTCCTTCAAAATTCAGTAAATATGTGGAAAACAAAAAGAACAGGATTATTTGGGGGAAGGTTTTTTTTTTCTCCCACTGTCCAATACATAAATTCATGAGCTCAGGGAATTAGTTTTCTAACTAATTTTAACTGTTTAATTTCTAATAGTTTAATAGCTGTTTCATTTCTAAATTTTACAACTATTTTATTTCTAATAGTTTTCACCTGCTCTTTCTATAACAAAGAATAGTTAAGGCTTTGAGATATACTACCTCCCAAATGAAAAGATGGTGGAGTGAACCCACATTACTCAAAAGTGTGGTTCTCAAGTCACTGTTGGTGTTAAACTGTCTTCAGTGAGATTAGTGCAGACATTAAAACGGTTTAAAAAGTTTCGTAGAAACTTAACACAAGAAGTTTACATCTCCTGAAGCTAATAATAATAACAAATGTTTTCATTTCATGATTTTAGTAACTAAATTTTATTGTACTTTACAAAAGTATCATAGATTGTAAATTCACCACAGAGAATTTGAGAAGCACTGGAGCAGGGAATAGGCAGTATAGCCAGGACTCTTTCTCAAAAATAGTGCCTTCCATCCATTTTAACAGATGCTTAAAATCTTGAATAAAGCTTTGATGCTCTAGTCCTAAAACGTTCTATAATGTAAGGCTGCATAAGAATCATTTTTATTACATCATTCATCTTTTTCTGTGTTATTCATTTGTTCAACAAGTAGTTACTAGCCATAGGATTTGTGCTGGGTATTGGTTGAATAGTGATAAGTGAAATGGATATCGTCTCTACCCTCATTCAACTCACAGTGTCATGAGGAAGACCAAAGTAGCAAGTAAAAATGTAATTGTCAAATGGAAAGCATTATTTATCATAGCAGACAGGATGCTGAGATAAAGAATAGGAGTGATGGGATTAGATAGAAAGAGGGGACCTATTTTCAGAGAATGATTCAGGAAGGACTTACAAAAGCATTTAAACTGAAATCTGTAGGACAAAAAGAAGATAGGAAAGGAGCTAGTTAAGAAGGAATAGTATGTGCAAAGCCTATGATATGTTCAAGAAATGAAAAGGATGTCCTTATAGCATTAAGGAGAGTGTATGAATAAGGAGAGAGAGGAGTACAGGCCATACTATGCAAGATCTCATAGGCCAAGGTAAGGTCCTTGGACTTTATTCAAAGTGAAGCATCAAGCCATTGGATGGTTTTAAGTAAAGGAGTTATATGGTCTGGTTTATGTTTTAAAAATTACTCTTGCTGTCATATGGAGAAGAAGTTGCAGGATATTACCAAAGAA